CAGTGTCGAGGTTTCAAGATGAGAGGAGTTGGAATCTATCGGTATTGGTAATGGTTTCTCATGCGCCTGAACGATGCTCGTTGCTTTTCTACCGTAGCTTTCACAATTTCTATTACAATTACAATCACAATGATGGTTTCTGAAGCTCGTGTTATTCTGATTTACCTAGCCGCTGAGGTGAATTTGGTGAAGCGGTTAGTGCCACGCTTACCAGAGTGCGTTGTTAAATCCCGGATGGAATCCTGTCCCGGCTAAGCAAGCCTTCTTCTTTCGAGAACGGTAAATTAGCACCAGATTCGTCTGGAAGGGTACGAACACTGACCTGCAAACCAGCTGGCCCCGTAATTCATTGCATAGACTAAACAAGCTAGGAATGAGTGTGGAAAAGGAATGCGTGTCGCAGCTCAAAGAGGGATTGATCAACCGCGTAGACTTTACTCTTGATCAGTTGCTCGGCCTCACACATGACAGTAGCCTTTCCGATTTCTTTATTAACAAGTACTTCCTGAGGAATAAGTACTTTCTGCCCTTTGATTCATTTTTGGTGTTCTTTAAGATCTTTAATCCTTCTGTTTACTTTCGCCTTGACGCCGTCCGTTCGCTATCATTTCTTTAATCGGCTCATTTCATCACATTGTTGACTTTTCAGGGAACGTCCGGTATTACAAGCGATGATATTTCACTGACAGTGGCGATGCTACCATGAGATGGCGATCAGTTTCGCTTCTCGCTGCAGCAGCAGTTCTGCGTGCGCTACTGCTCCTTACAACGTTGACGTTGGCGCTACTGCCTGGTACTGTCGACGCTCGTGCTATACTAAACGATGACCATGTGGTGCATACAGCGCTCGGGTCTATACGAGGAGTACCTCAGGTAAGGACTTCATCAGTCCATACAACTGTAAATAGCAGTCACAGAGGAGGGATGGGCGGAAAATTACCTACCGCCTCACTCTTGCTCGCCCTCTCACAATACAGTAATTAGGAAGCCACAAAAGGGCCTGCAAAGGAATTCCTACAATCTAAGCAAGAAAGACATGAGAAGGAGTGGTAATACTGGTTAATGAGAACGCCATTCTGACGGAAGGGTCGTGTTCGAGCCGCGTGTGAGAGGAAGAGGGTTACGTTTCCTAAGAAAAGTCGACACTATTCAACTATCACTACCCCGAAAAAGTCAAAAATTTTTTTGCTGAAACTTTGCCCACAGAGGTAGTTCGGTGTCCTGATCACGAATATAGCACTCGTTTTCGGCGCTGGCGCCAAATTGGCGCCAGTGCCGCCACCTTTCTCACTAAATTCGGGGTGAATATGCATAGAAGGGTTATTCCATATCCTGAATACGGAACTTGGTTTCCCGCCCTGACTCTATTTGGCGATTTGCCATGAGGCGTTGATTTGGTACC